TAGCATAAATCTTTTGAATTGGAAGTGGCAAATACACCAACTTGTAATACTGTGTAAATATGTGGAATGGTTGAACAGATGACTAACATTTGTGAAATCATAGTAGCATATAAAAAAAGTGAAAGGTCCCCTATATATTCAGTAGATTTTCTATTTTATTACTGTTTATAAAGTGTTTATAGAAATATCATTTTTTGTGAAACTTATTCCTTAGATACAGAACAATTCTGTGTTGAAACATGAAGTAATTTCTGCTAACATCTTGTATTACAATTATTCTTTTACCTGTTTAATAACATGACATCAGTGACAGATTTATTATTCTAAATCAGTTATTTATCCAAGCAAGAACTAATATTGCCTTAGATATTATTTTTAACTAGTTTGTATAAAGCAGTTTATCTTCTGTCACTTTTCTTACAAGTTGCTTTTCACCTTATTCTTTGATATCATTAGTAACTTCCTTTGCCTATGTTTTTTACAAGCACGCCTTTCATATAATGATTGAGGTAAGCTGCATTGATGTTTTTTTGTGTTTGTGGAACTTTGTGGTCATGAAAGATGTTTCTCTTTCTTGTTGCTTTAATATAAATTAAATTCTTTGCAATATTTTGTAGCATTGCTAAGTAAGCATGCTGGATCAAAATGTAAACTTACTCTTCCAAAAATTATTAGAATTTCCTATGTAATAGAGTTGAATGACTGTGGCAGGGGTGGGAAATAATTTTCGCAGGGGGGCTACTCCATGAATTTTGGTAAGTCATTGGGGGGCCAGCTCTGGGCTCCTAGAAGGGACGGGCCTTGGGGGAGGGGGCAGAGAGGGAAGAGGAGAGAGAGAGAGAGAGATGAAAAAAATATGAATTTGTGTGTGTATGTGGCACAGAGACTGAAAGAATAGACCGAGACACAGAGTATGTGTGCTGGCTGCTGCTGGGTAAGCTGAGCGATGCTATATGTTCTCTCTTTAAGACAGGAAAAACTGCCCTGCTCTGACTGGGATAAATGGGGGGAGGGGTGTGTGTGTGTGTGTGTGTGTGTGTGTGTGTGTGAGAGACAGACAGACAGCGGACTGGTGGAGCAATCTTAAAAACAACAGCCACCCATCTCAGTCACTTCCAATTGGAGTAGCTGCATGTGTGTGTGCCTCATCCCGACCCCTGCTCTGCAGAGATAGGGTACAAAGGACCAGGTACATCCTGACTTCAACATTCCCCTCTTCCCTCTCTCTGCTCCCCCCTGTACAGCTAGTAGGAAGGTCCTGGGATCAGCACTGCTGCTGAAAGGA